CACGCGTCCAGGGCCATCTTACAGTCCGCGATGAACTCGGTTCCACCTGGGCCCAGCTGCCCAAGGCCCACGAGGAAAACATATAACTCCCCCCACCCCACCCGCCCACTGGAGCGGGCGGGGCAGGTGACCGCACAGAGACCCAACGACGCCACCCCCTTCATCCAAAGCAACATCCCCAAACCAGCCCGGGCAAAACTAAAAACTATCACTGTCGGGTTCCACGGCCGAACCTTCCAAACAGATCTTGCCAAAGTCGAGGGCGCCAGACGGGGGGTGGGCCATCCAGACAAACCCAGCATCAACGCGCGGGGCCGGCCAAATCCATTCGGGGCTGGGGAGGAGGGCCTTCGTGGCCCAAAGGTCGCAGTCGCCTCTAGCCCTGCCCAGGGCCAAAAACTCGCCCAGGTCCAAATCTTCACGCACGAGCTCGCTGCCATCGCAGCCAGAGAACCTGTGCTTCGGAGTGCCAGTGAGCGCGCCGCACCACCTGCACAACGGGCTGAGAACTCGGCGGCCCTCAAAAAGAGAGCGCTGGGTGGCACATCGTCCTAAGACCAATCCAGCCACCATCGCGGCCTCCATCCCTCGGCCAGACACTCTGAGGGACTGGGGCTTCTTTATAGTCGGCTGGCGCAAGTGACCCTCCGAAAGCCCTGCAACCTTACTCGCGATGCTCGGGGCCACCCCTCTCTGAGTGTCTTGCTCGATCAGACGCTCGAGGGCCCTCTTGCCCAGGGTGCCAGGATCCACGGGGATTCCACGGCAGGCGACCCAGCCCCGAAAACCCCGAGGCGTCCAGCAGAGGCGACGAAGGGCGCACAAAACAGCACCAGCGGGCCCCGTCACATGCCCCCAGCCGAATCCAGCAGCGCGGACAAAGGCGTCGAAGCTCTTCTTCATCCGAGCGATGGGCGCCCAGCCCCCACGCAGGGCCAAACTCCACATCAAGACGGGGGCGGTGTTAGCCGCGAAGGCGAGGTCGGCTGTGAGGCCCCCTGCCGGCTGGAATTCTAGCGCCCTCGAGCGCCCTCTGGGCGTGCCAAACACCGATTGGCCCAACACGGATCTGAGCTCCTTCAGGCGGGCATCCGCGATGCCAACAACTCCGCTACCGTAGGTCGCGGCGGGGGGGGGGCCGTCTTGACCACGCGGGTGGCCCCTCGAAATGAGGAACGCAGACCTCTGAAACGTGTCACTCTTGGCCTGAGCCCCGCTAACCTCTTTCTGGACTCCCGCGGCCCTCCGACGCTTTGCAAGCGAGAAATCAACCCGCGTTTTTCGTCGCCGACGCTACCCGAAAACCCCAGGGCTTGACCTGCTCCAAAATGTCGGTGCCAACCGTCCTGTCCGTGGCCATGACCAAACCCTTGTCCCTGGAGATAATCGGGAAGAGTTCCTGGAGCTGGGAGAGGGGGTACTGCGCGGCGGTTCCCGTCGTTCGAGATACACCACCGCTCCTGCCGCAAAGAGAGCGATGTCGTCAACGACGTGAAAAACTCGTCGTTGCTCGGCCAGTGGATAATCATGGCGTCGACAGGGGCGAGGAATATAAGTTTCATGAGACTGGTCGCGAAGGCATACCCAGCTACGACTCCCTGTCCAGCGTCTATGACCCCTGAGAACATCTGGCCCGTCTGGAGCAGCTCGGGGGCCTGGTGCATATCGAGCAGAAGCCTCAGCCTAACCAAAAGGAACCCATGTCTCAAAGCCGCGTGGGACAGCATCGTATGGAGCACCTTTTTAGGAATTGGTGAGATCGAGCACGACGGCCCCAGTGCCAATCCCGACCAGACTGCCAACCTCGGTGGCTTGCGCTTGCTCCCAGACCGCACGCTCGCAGCTTTTGCCAGCAGTTCCGTAGTGGTACCCTCGGCCTTGCTCGGCCTCCCAGGCGACCGCTTCCTGCCTGGTGACCTTCCCAAACACCCTGCATATTACTGGCAAGAGTCCGATAAGTCTGAACCCACCGTCAGTTGCGGGAAGGAGCGCCGTGAACATAAGCGCAAGCTGGATTGGCATGCGCACCAAGGATTCGCACCACTACCAGATCGCACGCAAGGCTTCAAGGCACTCACCCGAAACTCTGGAAAGGCCCCGCGGGTGGACGGCGTCGGAACCAAGCGCCGCGCGCGTTTTAAACTTGCTGGCCGCGGCGAGCACCTCCGCAGGAGCGCGCCGAGCTGGCGCCGCGGCACACGGGTCGCCATCCCGACGGAGTTCTTGGATCTTGGCGCCCAGGAAGGGAATGGCACCGGGGAGGCAGGCCGCGCCAGCTGGTGGGGCCCCAACTTCTTCCCCAGCAGCTTGCGGCTGGTTCATGAGAGCCCCTGGCCCAGGAGGGGGGGCCCCAAGCTTCGTAGGGACGGGTTGCCAGCCAACCGGGGCCTCGCTGTATTTGCGGGCGGCCCCTCCCCCATTTCTGCCGGCATCCTGGACCCAGTCACGCCGCCTGTTCCATCGGGCACTTGCATGCTTCTGCTCGTGGCGCTCGGCCGTCTTTCTCGCCTCTCCTCGGAGGTCGGCAAAGCCCTGCTCCGCGCAGGCGAGAAGGACGCCTTCGAACAGCGGCTTCCAGCTCAGCCATTCGTCACTTGTTCCCAAGGCTGCTAAGTCCTGTGCAAAAAATACTGTCAATGCGCTGCAGATCAAGAGAACCCCAACTTCCTCCTTGGCCCTCAGGTGGCCGGGTTCGCGGAGCCAGATGACCACCTTCCCCCAGCCCCGAGACGCAGGAGACCCCACGGGGTACGCGCCCCCAGACGTTCGGAGCGCTGGGACCCTCTTGAGACGCTTCGGCTTCCCCCGCCCAAGGAAGGTGGATTCCTGGACCTGGTAAATACCTCCGAGCTCTTGTTCAAGGGACAAGAGAAAACGAGCGAAACAGGTACCGAGGGAGCGCGCGTCGCCCTGATCTTCAGCCATGTCCTGAATAACCGAATAGTCAGGTGGCGTGGGCCTGGGCCCCGCGGGGACCTCCATGGGGAAGGGCCGCGGTCGCGGAAGGACCCAGACTTGGTCGATGCGAGGGTTCCCGTGGAGAGAGACTTCGACCTGCCAATGCTGGCTCGTCGCCGCGCCGTCATTCCTTACTCTGTCTCTAGGCACCGGCGCCAACGCAGCCGAACAAACAAAATAGCCGATGGTCTCCCAACGCTTGGCCACTGAGCAACGCGCGGAGACGGACGGGGCAACGATCTGCCCCCCAAGCCTCTCCACCCAGCCCGTCTCTCGCAGGGTGCGAGGCCCGCAGTTCCAGTCCCCACCAATCAGGAAGGGGGGGCCAAGCGAGTAGAGCAACTCCCCTAACCTGCAAAGGGCGAACGAACCGCCCTCCCCGAGCGGGCCCCCCCGGGGAAGGTAGAGGCTGCCAACAATGAACCCTCCTGGCACAAACGCATTGGCCCAGGTCAAGACACACCGACGCGGGGCAGGGAGGGACCTGGAGGTGGGGGGGGGCCCATCCCTATATGGCTTCGCCCCGCTATTACAATCCCACAAGCCAGTCCTCCAGCGTCCGCCATGATGGACGGGCGCAGGCACGCCGACCACCCGTTCCTCCTGAGCGCGACCCCCACCTCTGCCCTCTCGGACTGCTTGAGGGCCAGCTCGTGGAGGCACACTATCGACGCCTCCGTCTCCGCATCCAGATATCGCCCCAGTGAACCGAGCGCGGAGCAGTTACAAGTTTCGGCACGGAGCGAGCTGTTCCACACACACACACACACACACACACACACACACACACACACACACACACACACACACACACACACACACACACACACACACACACACACACACCACTCGCCGCCACTGGGGGCTGGGACGGGGCGCCAAGCTGGAAAATGGCGGAGAGCTGGCCTTGTGAATTAATTGGGGCGCTGGGTTCGCCGCGGCCCAGCCTGCCCACGGGTGGCAGCGCTCCAACCTTGGAGTTAAAAGAATTGGCCCCTGGCTTCCCGGGGTTCCTGTCTCGCAGCCGCGCCCCACACGCGGCGCAGAGATACGGGTTTTCACGGGCCCTAGCTGGCGGACCTTGGGACCCAAGAAGGCTTGAAATTCCCCCGCGGGGTCGTCACTAGTTCTGGCAAGCGCCCCGCTCAGCGCGAGCTCGCTGCTGCTCGGGGCGTCGCGGAAAGTTGCGCCTGCCCCACTGCGGGTCGAAAAATGCCGATCCAGGAGCCGCGCCCGACAACGCGCGACGAGGGGCGTGTCTGGGTTCCCTTGGCCCGCTTGTAATATATCCCCTACCTAGGCTCTGCCTAGAAGGGCCCCTGCCCTCTCAGCTTAAAGGGGCCGGGCAGTGCAAATCGCTCCGGGCGGTTCCCCCGGGGCCCGCCCCGCGATTTCCCGCAGCCCCCTGGGAGCTTTAGCTTTAGCTTTAGCTGTAGCTTTAGCTTTGGCTTAGCTTTAGCTTAGCTTCAGCTTAGCTTTAGCTTAGCGTTAATTTAGATTTAGCTTAACTTTAGTTTAGCGTTAGCTTAGCTTTAGCTTAGCTTCAGCTTAGCTTTAGCTTACCTTAGCTTTAGCTCAGCTTTAGCCAAGCTTTACCTTAGCTTTAGCTTACCTTTACCTTAGCTTCAGCTTAGCTTTACCTTAGCTTTAGCTGTAGCTTTAGCTTCAGTTTAGCTTTAGCTTCGCTTCAGCTTAGTTTTAGTGTAGCTTCAGCTTAGCTTTAGCTTAGTTTTAGCTTAGCTGCAGCTTAGCTTTAGCATAGTTTTAGCTTCGTTTTAGCTTAGCTTCAGTTTAGCTTTAGTTTAGCTTTAGCCAAGCTTTAGCTGGGCTTTCGCTTAGCTTTAGCTTAGCTGTAGCTTTGCTTTAGCTTAGCTTTAGCTTAGCTTTAGTGTTACTACTAATGCTGCTTTCCTAAGGGCTCCAACTCCTCGGTAGGGTCGCACTGGGGTAATTATTTTTTTTTTTATATAAAAAAAAAAAAAAAAAAAAAAAAAAAAAAAAAAAAAAAAAAAAAAAAAAAAAAAACGAGCAGAAAGTACCGCCTGGCTCAACCTACTGAGGCCGTCGTTCTCGCCCCCCAGCTCTGCCTGCCCTGGCCGATCGACTCCTGGGATCGCAACCGCAGGGGAGGTGGGCGCAGAGGCGCCGGCGGCCAGCGCAGCCGCGCAGTCAGCGTCGCTCATGTCGTCGACGCCGCCATCCTCGAAGAAGCAGAGCAGGTCGTCAAAGTCCATGTAGAAGCCGCCCCCCGTCGACATCCTTGAAGCCCAGGCCGTCGGACTCCGTCCCGGCCCACGGGGGGGCACCAATCCTCGCCGCCGCCTGCGCCAGCCCCGCCTGGCTGCGCGCCCTTGCTGCCGAGGGCCCGCGCTGACCGCGCACGCGCGTCAGCCGCGAAGGAGACGTTGGGCTCGGCAGCGCCCGCCTTAGCCTCAGCCCCCCCCCCCCCCTGCGACGCCCCCGACGTGGCACCTGGCTCTTCACGCGGTCCACCAGGTGCCTCAGGCGCGGGGGCGGCGGCTGCTGCGCGGTCGCGGGGTTGCTCTGCGGCCGCTGTCGCGGGGGCCAAATGACTGGTCTCAGCCCCAGCCGCACCCTCTGTAGGCTCTTCACGTCGTACTCCTTGCGTCCGAGCCGTAGTACATGTGCTTCGCGTTCAGCTTTGATGCTCTCGACCTTGTCCATTTCCGATGTGGATCAGGCCCTTCGTAGCTGCTTGCATCTGCTGCCGAAGCAA